TGTCTGGCTGGGATCCCAAGGCGGCGGTGCCTGGGCCGAGATTGGCGTCATATGGGGGCCTGATAATTAGAATAGGCCTTTGGGGGTTATGCGTAGTACAAGTATAAAGGGGTCATAAGGGAAGGCCACTAGTAAGTATTCCGACCCCTATATTACATGTGATATAGGGGGGGGGGTTTATGGTGGTTCTTGGGCGAGGGTACATATGGGTATTTCCGAAAATAGGGGTACCCAAAAGGGTACCCCTATTTTCGGAAACACAGCCATGTTGGCGTTTTTTCTCTTTAGAGAAGAGCCCGAAAGGACAGCCCTTTGCTGATGATTTTTGTCAGCGCCCTTCATGTTCTGTGTGAGTCTCCAGATCAGGCCAAGGGCTGCGTGGTCAAGGTGGGCCTCGGTCAGATGTCCTTCCCTTCCTCCTTTGGGAAGTCGGCGGCCGTGTCGGCCAAGCTTGGATCGCAGGACGCTGCTTAGGGTTCAGGGTTTACGGTTAGGGTTTAGGGTTAGGGTTTAGGGTTTGGGGTTTAAGGGGGGAAGCTGGTTGCTGAGAGCTAGGATTCAGGTTTTCAGGGCGGGGGTCTAGGGATCTCGTCACCCCAGCACCCTCTCATACCCCAATCCCTAAAACTGCCGAATGCCTAATGCCGGAGCCTAGCCTAAATAGTTCCAAATATCAGCCCCTTGGCAGAGACCTTATACACACATAGACCCCGCAAAATCCCTTATACAAAATGTTTGTTGCGCCTTGAATTCGCAGCACCCTAGACCCTAAACCTCAACCCTAAACCCACCCTGTGGTCCTGTCTTCGAGGAAAAAGTCTCCAAGCTGAAAACAGTCACTGAGCCGTCGTGCCCCGCCGACGACAGACCTTGTGTGCCCCTATATAGTACAGCACCCTTAAAAGAAAGGACCCCAACAAGGGACCCTGATCTAGAGAACTATTTGGGATGTTCCCCCTGAAACTAGCAGTCCTTAAGAGGGATTATAGTAGGGGGTACTATGATCCCTATTAAGGAGCTGTTAGTATGAGGGGCAACATCCCAAAGAGCTACCCATACTGCACTCCTTAAAGTTTGCCTCTCCACGGGAAGCAGTTTAGGTGTCCGAGGCCTTCAACAGTCAAAGCGTGGCAGTGGGGCAGTGTAGTTGCCTTTAATACCCTAAACCCTAAACCTGAAACGCTGAACCCTGAACCCTGAACCCTAAACCCTAAACCCTAAACCCTAAACCCTAAACCCTAAACCCTAAACCCTAAACCCTAAACCCCTTTTGTGGCGCGTCATGGAGCTTTGAAGCCGGTGGCTTGCCACGCATGTGAGGCCCGACAAGGTCTCAGTGGCCACTGCCCTGGCGAAGGTGGCCAGGCACCTGGGTCCCCAGGCCCTAAACCCTAAACCCTAAACCCCAAACCCTAAACCCTAAACCCTAAACCCCAAACCCTAAACCCTAAACCCTAAACCCTAAACCCTAAACCCTAAACCCTAAACCTTGAATCCTAAACCCTGAAAAGCTTAGAAGGATGTGAGAATGTCCACAGTTGCAGTGTCGACGCTGCTGCCGCTGCTTCTGCTTCTGCTTTGCTTCTGCTTCTGCTTCGGCTTTGCTTCTGCTGCTGCTGCTGTAGGCATCATGTTCTTGAGCTTTCGGTTTCACATCCATCCCGAAAGTTGCCCGATTCAGAAAAGAGCGCCATGCCACGCATGACGGACTCATCTGCCAGGCAGTGCAAGGCGAAGGGCTTGGAGGAGCAGGCCATCATGGAGATCACCGGCTTGAGCAAGGAGCGGGGTTTAGGGTTTAGGGTTTAGGGTTTAGGGTTTAGGGTTTAGGGTTTAGGGTTTAGGGTTTAGGGTTTAGGGTTTAGGGTTTAGGGTTTAGGGCAAGGAGCGTACGAACCTGCCGCTTCAATCGAAAAGTCTGGCCTGATGTTGTCGGTCTTAGCACCTAAGATGATGCTGTTGGATATTGCGACCACGGGCAAATCGTTCAGAGAGGCTAGTCATGATGGCAGTGCATAGGCACAGCATGGCCAGGAGGGGGGGGGGGGGGAATGGAAATTCATGATCATGCAGCAGTCCCTTCGGCGAACCCTAAACCCTAAAATCCGAAACCCTAAACCCTAAACCTAAACCCTAAACCCCAAGCCCTAAACCCTAAACCCTAAACCCTAAGCCCTAAGCCCTAAACCCTAAACCCTAGAGCAGGAAGACCTGGACAGCGCCCTCGCGGTCTCCGACACGAAGGACGCGGCGGCCGCGGACGTGGTGAGGCCGGAGATCGACATGGACTTGGCGTCGCTTTGCCGGCAGGGCAAGGCCCCTTTGCGTTTATTTCTAGTGTTTCTATTATTGCCAGTACTACTACTATTGTTATTAGTATCATTGCAAGCCCAGTTGTGTTTATTTGTAGTAATACTACTACCATTATCATTGTTATTGTTATGATTATGATTATTATTCTTCTGCTTCTTACTCCAATGATTACTATGACTATTACTTTTACTATTACTAGTACTATTTACTATTACAATTATTATTACTATTTCCTACTACTTTTTACTATTACTATTTACCATTACTATTACCATTACTATTTACTATTAACTATTTACTATTTACTATTTACTATTTACTATTTACTATTTACTATTGCTATTACTATAACTATTACCATTCCTATTACTATTATTCTTACTATTGTTGTTGTTATTATTATGATTATTGTTACTATTATTCTGGTTACAAATATTGCTATTATTATTTATTGCTATTATTGTCACTGTTAGTATTCTTATTTATTACTATTACTAGTACGACTATTTTCTCTCAGCATATGGGTTTGGACACCTCGCAGTTCACTGTTGAAGACTCGATGTTGTCGCCTGATACATGCTGGCGTGGGTGTTCCCTGCAGTGCAAGGTTTTACTTCTCGGTTGATGCCACGGATGTGAACAACATGGAGCTCACAATCACTGCGCCTCAGCATATTTTTTATGTCGGGACAATGCAGAGGTGTCACAGTTCCACGACGTGTTGACACGGTTCTTCCCTCGTTGTACTCTCCCTCCCCCCACGACCCAGCGGGCCCTTCCGCGCCCCAAACTCATGCAAAGTCAGGCGCTGGATGCAAAGTTGAAGCCCTACGCCACTTGGAGTTACCAAGCTCCTAAGGACCCACAGTGGGCCCCTTATTCCCTTTTTCTTCGGGTTGAGGGTCTCTTTGTTGCCATGTTAAACCAAAAAGGGACCCTCGTTATTCCCTAGGTCATTCTTGGGGGTTTAAATTCTCATCGCGCGCTTGTAACATAGCTGACGCGGAAGTGGATCCCTGGCTTTTATTCTGGAGTTTCGGCCCTAAGCCCCCTAAGCCCTAAACCCCAAACCCTGAGCCCTGAACCCTGAACCCTAAACCCTAAACCCGAACCCCTAAACAACCCCGAACCTTGAACCTAAACCTGAACCCTGAACCCTAAACCCCATATGAAGGAGGGTTTATATTTCTTGTACCCCCAAAAGGACACCCGGAATATACACTCACCAATATCAAAAGGGAACCTTATATACACACCAATAACAGTAATATAAACCCTGTTTCATATCAGTCAGACCTCGGAAGCTGGATCTTTGCCAGGCCACCTTTACCTCGTCCGTGAAAGATGTCTCGGCCGCTGTGGGCGAGCGCAAGGCGCGGACGTTGAAGCTGAACGAAGGCGCCGGGGGGTTGACGAGAATGGGGTTTAGGGTTTGGGGTTTAGGGTTTGGGGTTTGTGGTTTAGGGTTGAGGGTTTGGGGCTTAGGGTTCAGGGTTTAGGGTTCAGGCAGGAGGATTGAGGATTTAGGGTTGCGCTCTGCTGTGCGGAGCTTGAGATCCCTTGCCGCAGCATGCTGTGAGATGCCTGCGCTCGGATCGGCTGCAAAAGAAGGGAGGTGGCGTGCCCTGGAACCCACCTCGGTAGGCCACTGGAACATGTTTCGTTTTCCCTTATGGGGTTTAAGAGGACCATATTTAGGAGTATTTTTCAGAGAGTTTGGAGGTCAGTCCTAGCCGCTTTGTGTGCTTTGTGTGAAGTTATTGAGCCTCTGCCAACTGCAGGTGAGGGCTCTGTCCAGACGGATCTCGAAGTCTGCCTCTTTGCAATTAGCTGAACATGCTGCGGCCGATGGGGTGGGCGGTCGAGGGACCACCCTTCCCTCTGTCAAGAACCGGGCTTCCGGCCATTTGGGCCGGTTGCCGGAGTAAGCTTAGGATGCTGTTTCACGCCGTTTTACCCGTCATGCCCAGGCGTTTAGGTCCTGGGCTCGTTAATGTCCCCGGCCCCTCAGCTGGCCTTGCCGCGGGGTGGCCGTGGGCCGACAGAAGCCTGAGTCGTTCGAAGAGTGCGGAGGAGGCGGAGCAAGGGGGCGCAGCGGCAAAGATGACCTCACATTTAGACAAGCAGAATAATGTAGAATAGTATACAACAATACTCATATATATATATATGTATATAGATAGATATTAACAATAACAACAATAATCATAACAATGGATCAGTCCTCTGCTTGAAGCCTCGATTTAACCGCACTCTGGGATGAGGCTCCGGGCTCTAACCACAGAGACAGGGCTTCATATCGGCAAGCTCTGCGCGACACTTTTTGCTTTGCGGAGAAAATTGGTTTGGGGTTTAGGGTTTAGGGTCTAGGGTAGTGGCAAAACCATGCAAAGCCCGACAAGAAAAGTTCGGAGCAGATAGCGCCTGCTTTTCAGGTGCTTGTAACCTGGCCCTGACACTTCCTGAAGGGCTTAGGTTGAGGTCTATTTGTTAGGACGTCGGGTTCGCAGCGTGTTTGGTGCATGGCGGACAAGCCTTAAGCACTGGTAACTAACTTGCACTTTCGCCCGTAACAACCCGAAACCCTAAATCCTTTTTCCACCCACGACCCCTTGAAACCTTAGACCCTAAACCCTAAACCATAAACCCTAAACCCTAATCCCTCAACCCCTTAAAACGTAGCCGAGGTGCAGGTCGAAGTCGACGAATGACACCAGCCAGGGTTTAGGGGGGGTTCAGGGTTTAGGGTTTAGGGGTTAGAGCAACAATAAGGGTACAACGGGTACAACCATCAACCGTGGCGGCTAGTCTTAGTGTGTGCTCGTTATTGGTAGTTGTTGGTAGATGTTGTGAGCATTTGGTAGCAGCAATTGCTAGTTGTTCGTGATTCATAGACGTTACTTATTCGTGCTTATAGTTACTGGTAGTTGTTTACGGTTGTTTGCAGTTGTTTCCGGTTGCTTTCAGTTGTTTATAGTTGCTTATAGAGGTTTGTAGCCGTTTATACCTTTAGATGTATAAGGTTTTTCATAGCTATTTAACGGTTTATTATCAGCCATTCAGCTGTGTATAGTCATAGCCCTAAACCCTAAACCCTAAACCCTAAACCCTGAACCCTGAACCCTGAACCCTGAACCCTGAACCCTAAACCCTAAACCCTAAACCCTAAACCCTCAACCCTAAACCCTCAACCCTAACGCTTTAAGACGCCCTTTGTGCAAGCATGGGGTCAACAACGGGATGCATCCAATCCTCTCGAATCTCTTCCCTTGCATGGGGGCAAGTATCGTTAGGGTTTAGGGTTTAGGGTTTAGGGTTTAGGGTTTAGGGTTTAGGGTTTAGGGTTTAGGGTTTAGGGAGTGACCTGCAGGTCTTTCCTCGGTTTGACTTGCCCTGCATTGCTGGTGGAGAATTCGCATTTAACTCCTATTCTGAGAGCTGCTAGCAGCGGTGGGGCAATGAACATGCTCTTACCGCTTGGAGTTTGAATAGCTTAGAGCTTAGAGCTTAGAGCGTGCTTGCATAGATACCGAAGCAGCTTCCTGTCGATGTGCCGGTCGGCCACTCTGGAATGCCTCCTCACAGCACAGGGTAGTGCAGGGGTTTAGGGTTCAGGGTTTAGGGTTTAGGGGCACTAAGTGCGATGTCGAGACTGCACACAGTCACTGGAAGCCGATCGCACTTCGAATGGCTGTGGGCCGAGATGGGGAGCAGACTTCGAAAGTCTTCGAGGCATGCGTTGTAGACTGCAGAGGAAGAAAGGCTGCCCGACCCCGCTTGCCGCGCATGCGCGAAGCTCTCCGCTTGATGGTTCGGACTTCGGACTTAAGACCCTGAACCCTGCAAACCTTGAACCCTCAGGCCTGGCAATCTGAAACCTAAGCCCGAAGCCCTTTAAGTGCCCCAGTGTGGCCCTTCTGAAATGCCCCCAGGTCCTGGCTTTGTTTCCGAGGAATGGGCGCACGTGCTGGCCTGGGACCTCTTCGTGGGGCGCTGTGGCCTCAGCTGTCTACTCGATTAGGATGAGAGCCGTGTTCAACCAAACCTAGACACGCACTAAACCCTAAACCCTAAACCCTAAACCCTAAACCCTAAACCCTAAACCCTAAACCCTAAACCCTGGCGGGTCCACAACAGACCCGCGCAAAACTGTGGCCCCACCAGCACACCTGAGATGCAGGACTTAGGTCACCGCCTTTAGTGTTGAGAAACGACGCCTTTCTGCTCCCCAGTGCGCCTAAAAGCAAGAACTTCCAACCATTTCTGCCCAGAAGAAGGTTTGACCTTCTCGGAATGGAGACGATGTAGACCATGGACGTCATCATGCTTGGCCCATGGATGCTCTCTTCTCATCAGAGCAGAGTAGAGCATGGACGTCATCATGCTTGGACCCTGGATGCTCTCTTCCCAGAACGGAGTAGACCATGGACGTCATCATGGTTGGGCCATGGCAGTGCAGAAAACATGTAGACCATGGACGTCATCATGCTTGGGCCATGGATGCTCTCTTCTCATCAGAACAGAGTAGACCATGGACGTCATCATGCTTGGGCCATGGATACTCTCTTCCCAGAACGGATTAGACTATGGACGTCATCATGGTTGGGCCATGGATGCTCTCTTCTAACTATGGTGAAGCAAACGTGTTAGTTAGACCCATGGCTGGGCAGAAGCGGATGCAAGCAAGACAGGGCTTAGTTTAGGATACGTCGAAAGTGCGAAGTAGTGCAAAAAAACCCACAAATGCCAGTGCAGTCTACGGATGCCCAAAAAATTGCAGGACGATTTTGGATAAAAATTGCGGGGATGAGGTGATGGGCGAAACCCAGGAAACATCGGTATTTACAGGGGATTCTGAGGGCAACAGTGCCAAACTGCCGAAAACGCGTGGGTCTGTTATGGCCCCGCCTAGCCCTAAACCCTAAACCCTAAACCCTAAACCCTAAACCCTAAACCCTAAACCCTAAACCCTAAACCCTAAACCCTAAACCCTAAACCCTACACCGTGTGTGTACACACACACACAAAACCTAAACCCCAAAGCCTGAACCCCAGACCCTAGCAGAAAGGACAAAACCGTCCCGACCCAGAGGTTGGATCTAAACCCTAAACCCTAAACCCTAAACCCTAAACCCTAAACCCTAAACCCTAAACCCTAAACCCTAAACCCTAAACCCTAAACCCTAAACCCTAAACGACCCAGAGGTTGGATCTACCTGGACGGCCAGCGGCGTGGCATCTTTACCTCGCACTCTGCGCTGGGCTCACATTGAGACCGGGGGGGCGGGAGGGGGGGGGGTTAATGATAAGAATAATGATCATAGTAACAATAGTCGTAATAATAATAATACTGCTAATAATGATAATAATGATAACAATAATAAGAATACTAATAATTACTAATCATAATGATAGTAATAATAATGATGAGAATGATTTGTGCCTGCGCTTTGTTGCTTTGGTGCCGTTCGTCACCCTCAACTCGAAGGTGTTTTCCTCACCTCCCTGAGCCCGAAGCCCTCAACGCTGAAGCCCTAAACAGTGCAAAGCCCTAAGCCCCTAAACCCTAAGCCCCTAAACCCTAAACCCTAAACCCTAAACCCTAAACCCTAAACCCTAAACCCTAAACCCTAAACCCTAAACCCTAAACCCTAAACCCTAAACCCTAAACCCTAAACCCTAAACTGCAGGTGCTTTTCTGTAACTTGATCGGACCTCCTGGGCTCCTCATGCATGCGATCACCTGCCTCGTTGTGGGGAAGGCGAGGAGCTGCTCCAAGGGATTTTAGGGTTTAGGGTTTAGGGTTTAGGGTTTAGGGTTTAGGGTTTAGGGTTTAGGGTCTAGGGTTTAGGGTTTAGGGTTGAGGCTTTGGGGTTCAGGTATTAGCGTTTAGGGCTTTTAGGGTTTAGATTCTGGATGTGGGGGGGTTTGCAGTGTTTTCGGGTTTCAGGGTTTTGGGTTTCGGCGTTTAGGACTTTGCAGGGTTTACAGGCTTCGGGGTTTTTGCAGCGTATGGGCTTTCGCCGTTAGGGACGCCCTTTGCCCCAAGCCCTCAATCCTAAACCCTCCTACCACCCCCCCCCCCCCAAGCATAAACCCGAAACCCTAAGCCCTAAACCCCCTAAACCCCAAACCCTCAACCCCAAACCCTCCTCCCTACCTGCAGCAGCGTCAGGGCCTGCCAAAGGAAGAGGGCCTGGAGGATCCGAAGTGAGAGACCCGGCTTAGGGCGCCTTTGGGAGTGTTTTGGGGGGTTTAGGGTTTGGGGTTTAGGGTTTAGGGTTTAGGGTTTCGGGGTTCAGGGTTCAGGGGATTCCTTTGGGGTGTTTTGGGGGGCTTTCAAGGTCTAGCGATAACACGGAAGCAGCTCTTTAGACGCATGCCCAGCGGAACTGCAAAAGCGATCTTGGCGACCGCGGCAGGACGCAAAAGCGCCAACCCGAGGCCCGAACCCAAAGCCCTAAACCAGCTAAGCCCTAAACCCAACCGATTTGCCGAGATCTCTTGAGTCCCTGCTGTGTGGGGACGCGAGTGGGGGTTGAACCATTTGATGGTTGCCGAGAAGGAGCGTACTACAAAGGGAGACTTTGAAAGAGCCCGTGAGGCTGGTCGCCCCCCCCCCCCTATGTATCTTGAATGGCTTGAATCTTGCTGCCGCACCATCCGCTCAAGCGCCAAGGCGTCGTACATGTGTCTGCTGCAGTCGTCACCGAACAGATCTCACCGGCTAAGCTTTATTCTTTGTGAAAAGATCTCGGTCACTTCACCACGAAACACATCCAAGTGGCACGTTGCAGATTCTCTGCACCAGTCGGAAGCCAGCACGTCATAGTTTAGCAGGTTAACAAGCACTGCGCTCCATGCAAGTTTGGCGTGGAGTTGCAGTTGCTCACCAGTGCGGGAGCCTCAGACTTGCGGCACGCTTGTGTTGCCTTTGTGGCGCATGTGTTCGTCAACCTTTGGATGTCGGCAAGCACCTGAGGAAGGGGAGCCCCCCTGCGTGTCCAGATGGGACAGCAGGACCTGGGGATCAAATTTCCTGCATGTACTGCAGATTTTGTTTTGTTGATGCAGCGAGCGAATTTCTCATCAAAGAGACCCCCTCCCCCTCCCCAAAAGGGGACCCTAGTTTTGAACCCTAAAACCCTAAACCCTAAACCCTAAACCCAAAACCCTCCACCCTAGCTGAGAACAGCCCCCCCCCCCCCCCCCCGGCAACGTGCATCCTTCAGGGTGTGACCTTGCGCCAGGCTTCGGCTGCGCCGGATGATTCGCGCGTGCCCCAGGGTGGGGTCCTTTTGGGGGTTCAGGGTTTAGGGTTTAGGGTTTAGGGCTTAGGGCTTAGGGTTTAGTTTAGGGGTTCTTGGTTTAGGGCTTCAGGGCCGCGCTCCATCTCTGTAGCGCTGCAGGCCTATAGCCCGATAATACCCCTTATATCCCTGTAAGCCCTAACCCACACTCTGACCCTTTAACCCTCCAACCCTCCAACCCTCCAACCCTCCAACCCTCCAACGCTCCGACCCTAAGTGGTCCGGCTGTCTGGTCGCCTAGGCCAAAGGAGCGGAGTCCGGGCGCTTCCTCATCTTCGAAGGCGGCTGAGACTTGAACCCTAAACTACTCTCCGAACCCTACAAACCCTGAAAAGTCGGAAACCCTACTGGCAAAAGCTCTATTCGCTCTGTTTACCCTATTGAGCCCCATAAGCCCTAT